CCCTCGCCCATCAGCAACGACCCCCGCCCCCCGGCTACAACATTGAGCAGCCTCGCCAAAGCGCGGTCCCCCCCCTGCTCCGACCTGCCCTACGCCGTCAAGGGCATGGACTGCTCCTTCTCCGGCATCCTCGCGAGCGCCGACGTGCTGGCCGCCCAGATGCACGCCGCCCGCGCCCGCGGCGACGACCCCCTGCCCTTTACGCCCGAGGACCTCTGCTTCACCCTGCAGGAGACCGTCTTCGCCATGCTCGTCGAGATCACCGAGCGCGCCATGGCCCACGTCGGCAGCAGCCAGGTCCTCATCGTCGGCGGCGTCGGCTGCAACGAGCGCCTCCAGGAGATGATGGGGCTCATGGCCCGCGACCGCGGCGGCAGCGTCTACGCCACCGACGAGAGGTTCTGCATCGACAACGGCATCATGATTGCCCACGCCGGTCTGCTGGCGTACAACACCGGCTTTCGCACGCCGCTCGAGGACAGCCAGTGCACGCAGCGCTTCAGGACAGACGAGGTACATATCAAATGGAGAGACTGAACGGGGACACTTTGGCCCACAAAGCCGCACGTGTGTGTGTTTAGGCGCCTGTGAAATTGTGCATGTTGTTCTGTTCATTGCAATCGGTTCCCCGCAATAAGTGGGAAAGCGTCTACATGTGATTCCCCCTCTTCTATAGAGAATCGTCGCCTCCGCGTGTCCGCAGCTTGCAGCACAGACGCATCGTCAGTCGGCCCAAGCTCTCTTCGTCATCACGCACCCCAGTCACTGCCCCTGCGACGTCGCGCCTCTAGTCGTCCGTCGAGGTCGGCTTGTACACGATGGTTGTGACATACTAGTAGCCTCATGTTAGAAAACTGGCCGTCTCCAGAACACGCCTTGCCCGACATACCTTGCTCTTGTAGCGAGTCGTCGCTGACACAGCCAAGATGTTGTTCTTGATGCTGCTCGTGGCGAGATGGTTGAGGACCGTGTGATTCGGCATGTTGAGCACACTGTTGTCGTCCTTCATGAGGACGGCGGCATTGAGGATGGGCTTGCCCAGGAAGCCCGGAAGGCTGGGCGGCGTCGGCAGCTTCTCGATGGCCGTCACGGCGTACTGATACGAGGGCGAGTCCTCGGCCTGGTCAAAGTCGACGAGGTACTTGGGGATCTGGTGGAAGTATTGGCTGGCAGGCGGCACGGATTTGCCCCGCCAGCAGCGGCTTGGCCGAGTCGTCCGTCTGCGAGGCCGATGGCTTCACCGCCGCCTGGCCGTCGGCGGCACCCGGCCCCGGCCGCGGCTGACGCGCCCTGGCCGGCCTTCTTTTGCGAGGGCAGGTCATCGGCGCTGACCTCAATGTAGTTGACGAGGTTGTTGCCAAAGTCGACGGTTGTCGGTAGATCCGGCGACGTCTGCATGATGCCGTCGACCAAGAAACGCACATGGTGGGTGCCGGGGAGAATGTGGACCGTGCCGGAGAAGACGCCGGGTTTGCCTTCGCTGTAGGGCATGCCGAGTCAGCAGGTGGGTAGCACAATGTGGTGAGAAGCATCCATGACCAGTAGCCGTCGAACCCAAAAAGAGGGGGCGGGGGAGATGGTGAGAACTTACACGGGATGCAGTCGTTGCTTGCGGTTCCACTGGAAAATGGTGCCGGTGACGTAGACTTTCTCTCCTCCACGAGTCCAGAGCAGCTGGGTAGGCACGGTAGGGCGGGTCTTGTCGACGATGAGCTCCTCGCCGTCGTCGTCGTCGACTGTGTTGCTGCTGAGGGCCGAGGACTTACGGGTCATGGGGTCGGAATCGAGCGAGCCGGGGTCGACGATGGGGGTGTCGCCATCGGCCGGCGCGATGATGGGGGAGCCGGGCGTATGGACCTCCTCCTCAATGGGGAGCGGCAGGCGCGGGGGCCGCGTGAGATAGGACATGTCGTTGACGCTGCTCTGGGACACGAGGCCGGCACCGTCGACGTGGGCGGAGATGTGGGAGCGCAGGGACGACGGCTCGGTGTGGGCTGTCGGGACGTCTAGCGGTTTGGTGGGCTCATCGCGGGGGATCGTCTTGGCGTCGGACGGCCGTGGCGGCGCGGCCGAGTTGTTGCTCTTGGGGCTGGAGGAGGGCGAGGCGCTGGCGATGCCGGCGATGGGGTTGTACTGGAGGGGTCTTGAGGCCTTGCTGATGGTGGACCCCTGGGCCTGGTGCAGAGAGGCCTCGGGGGGCGCGGCGACCCGTTCGGTTGTGCGGTGGGGGATGATGTGCTTCGAATCCCTCTTGGGGTTCTTGGGCGAGTCGTGGGCGGATGCTGGGTTGGAAGAGACGGGGGTGGCGGGCTTGGACGCGGAGGAGGGGTTGTTGCCCATCTTGAGTATTTTTTTTTCGGCGGTCCCCCGGGTGGGACGACGGCGACCTCAACTCCTGACTGTGCGGGGAGGGGGGTAAAAGCACCCTCGTGGCTGGGTGAGGCGATGGGCAAAGAGTAACGTTGACGAGCAAGGGGTGCAGTTGGGTGCCGGCAGGTCGACGGGGCGGGCGCGGGGTCCAGTCGCGGTGCAGAGATAGGTCTCGTGGCTCTTTGTGTGATGAGTTTCGGCTGGCGGTGGGTGGGTTACGGGCTGGCGCGATCGGAGGGTACGCCTATCCTGTGGAGGGACTCGTTACGCGTGACAGGTCTCAGGCGCTATCGCGGGACAGCGGCCCCCTCGCAGCAGCGGCACGGTTGGGGGGGTAATGCGGGTCGGCGGGGTTGTCGACGGCCGTGTGCTGTGCTGCTGGGTGCCGTTCTGATGTTCGTTGGTGATGCTTTGTGCCGTTCGCGAGAGGGAGGAGGAGCAAGAAGGCGAGGCGAGGGCGAGGCGAGGTGAGGTGAGGTGAGGTGGGATGAACTGGGGTGAGTTCGGTGACGGAGGGGAGGGGAGGGGGGGGTCCGGTGAAAACGGAACGTCGAGGCAAGGTAGGTACCTAAGGGATAGGTTGGCAGGAGAGAGATCCGGATCCAGTGAGAGAGATAAGGCAGGCAGACGGCTGGGCGACAACTGGGGTGACAGCTGGGTGACAACTGGGCGAGAACAGAAGCGGTGGGAGATGGAGGGGCTCTTGCCCACCTGCGTCTGTGCCTGGGCCTGTGCTGTGCGCCGCTGTGACGGTGGATACGCTGGGGGGATGAGCAGTGCCCTTGCGCGGTACTTGCTCGTGCTGCCCGTCTGCATGGTCCTGTCTTATGTAATCCATCAACCTCCTGTCAATCGACTCGTCTCTCAAAGGTCGAGCTCCATCAAGCGCGAGCTCTGGAACCCCCAGCACCATCCGTGCTGAGAGCGAGGTACCTGCGTCTTGCCATGACAGGAATGAAGGAACCGTGACGTGACGTCCACCTCACACAGAGGTCCCGCTGCTCGTCCATTCCTGACGGTCCAACTCCCTTCCATCCGGTATCAAGCTCAAGCTCAAGCCCGGTGCGTCCCCGTCTCTCACGCCAATGCCCTGATTGATCGCCATGGACACGACCGTCACGGCCATCCATCCTCCCCACGTCGCCCTCGACCCGACAGGCCCAGCCATGGCCACATGGCAGACGGTTCTCTGGCAGACAGCCGTCATCCTCTGGGCTGTCTGCGCCTTTCCCCTGAAAATCGTCTGGTCGCTCCTCTCCAAGGTCACTGCCGTCGCCCTGTTCCTGCTGTCGCCAGTCACCCTCGTCTTCTCCTACGCCTGGTCGTGGGTGCAGGCCATCGCTGGCTTGTTTCGTGAGCCTCGAGGTAAACCAAGCCTTCTCAATTCGAATCGGGCTACCCCAAGCCGCTTTGCTGTCATCAAAACTGACAGTTCCCTGCAGCCCCTGTACATCTTTTGTTGGTCTAACAATTTCCGCTTGCCTCGCTTTCGG